TCTTCTGGTCAGTTGGAGGGTCGAACAGGGTATAGGATTACAGGCTGTGCTTGATGGGGTTACACTCCTCCTGAAGGTGCAGGTTCGCAGTTTTGGAGTGATCCTGGACTCATAGTTGAGCCTGGAATCCCAGGTCTCAGCGGTGGCCAGGGGAGCTTTCGCACAATTAAAAATTGTTCGCCAACTGCACCCATATCTTGGGAGGTTGAACTTGGTCATGGTAGTCCATGCTTTGGTTACATTCCAAATAGATTACTGCAACACACTCTGAAAATTGTTCAGATGATAGACAGGGCCTTCTCTGTGTTGGCCCCTCGGCTATGGAATTCCCTCCCAAACAAAATCAGATCTGCTCCATCACTCCTGTCCTTCGGGAAAAAAAGTGAAATCCTGGCTGTGGGATCAGGCCTTCACGGATTAGACTGACTTTCTGCCAAAGTTTCGGTTTTAATGAACTATGATGGACTATTTTTAGGATGATGACTGAAATCGGTGATTTGTTTTAATGTTTTTATAATGTTTTATTATAATATGTATATTTAAATGGTTTTTTGTTGTGGGCACCATGCTGTGCTGGTTGTTAGCCACCCTTAGTCCCTCCACGGAGGTTGAGATAGGATGGGATACAAATACTATAAATAAATAATAAATAAATGGGTATGAAGCAGAACTTAACAGCCTATTAAAGAAGCCAAAGCATTATCTGGAGAATGACACTATATAGAGGTGTTACAGTGCTAATGTGAAAAGCTTCTAAAACCCGATGAAGGTAGAGTTTGTTTTTAAAAGAGAAAAGATATAATGGGCTTTTCATTTTTTTTCATGTCAGAAGCAACTTAAGAAACTGCAAGTTGCTTCTGGTGTGAGAGAATTGGCCATCTGCAAGGATGTTGCCCAGGGGACGCCTGGATCTTTTTTGATGTTTTCCCATCTCTCATGTCCTCGCATGGAGCTGGAGCTGATAGAGGGTATATATAATGAGTATAAGACATACATGGAGAACTGGTGAAATATTGTATTCTGTGGGTAATTTTGTATTCTGTGGGTACTCTACATTTATAGGAGGGACAGGAAAGAGCATACTTTGCTATTGTCATACTGTGCATCAAAACAGCAAGATGTGAAACAAAATGAAACTGAAAAAGGATCAAGCTTCATTTTGCAATGAATGTTTATGACAGGTAACAGGCCCTGTGCTGGAACTGTGTAAGTTCCAGTTCCCTTTGTCAGGCTTCCTCACCTAAAGTTTTATAGTAATGATTTTTTGTTAGTTTTATAAATGTGGAGTTTTAAAAAACCCTTCCATGGTTTGTGTCAAGCCATTTTGTCTGCCCCTTTGTGAGCCATTTTAGATCAGAGACCACCAGGGAATCATGGAAGCAAGTGTCTGCAGTTGGTCCCAGTGAGATCCAGGCTTGGACAAGCCATTTCAAGACAATTTTATCAACCAATAATTAGTTAACCCATAATTTAGTAACGCTTTGGCCATTGGACACTCCGAAGACCCTATACCAGAGATAGTGAGCAAGGAAAACTATCATATATTCTCCTCTGAAATCTTCCAGGACTGGCAGCTTCAGGAACCATCAGTTACCATTCAAATTTTAAGTATGGACTTTGTTGTTGGGAAATCAAGTTAGTGTCTGGGTGGAGGTAGACCCAAGACAGGTTAATCAATCATTAGCATTTTGTGAGAGCAATAGTGTGGACATTGATTCTGTGAGGTTCCTTGCTCAGACAGGAAGGCAATCCAGCATCTCCCAAACTAACAGAAAGTTAGGACACGTTAATGTCAAAGAGACATTTAAAGCAGCTTGGATGCAACAGCACAGGCCCCTAAAGTAATTTAGATCTGGTGACAAGCTCTTGGTCTCCTGATCCAGGTGAAATGCTAAGGATGAGTTTGAAAGGCAGAATGAAATTAAGGATGCTTCCAAAGGGCTATAAAATCTCCTGAAAAGGAAGAACTTAATGAGTTTCCTAAAATTTCTTAATCTTCATAAACCAATGTTACTAAACCTATGTGTATATAAAAAGCCCTTCTAATCTCCTCACCCCATGTTTATCCCATGGAAGCTTAATCCAGGATGTCCCAAAAGTCGCCATATATAGGGAAATTGGGAAACCATAACTAAAAGAACTTTTATTTACAAAACATTTATTACAAAATTTTACTAAACATAAAATCATAAAAATATATACATATTAAATATTAAAATATTAAATACAATATGTGCTTGTTATTTTTTCCTGTGTATGTAGACTTTTGGGATACCCTGTATCATCTCTCCCAATTGTGAGAATATTCATAGTGAGAAAACAAAACTTAATTTTGAAAATGTATTGCAGAATTTAGCCTTAAAATGTGGAAGCAGAGAAAAAAGAGAGTACCTTGTACCTACATAATTGTGACTGAAAGAAAAAGTTATCCAGATGTTTGGTCCATTTTAAGCTGTAATAAACTCTAAACATTATTGAAGCCTCTTTCAAGGTTGTGGTGAAGGTGAAGAAGCATCTGCATTTCCAGAAAGGGCTTTGTCACAATGCGCTGCTGTCTAAAACCAGTTAATGTTATTGAAATTTCCCCCATACTTCTGTTGTCTAGAACTTCATTCAATTGCTTGTAATAAGTTTATATGTATTTTTACACTTACAAAACAAACAAAACAAAACAAAATGGAAATGTTTATAATGTACCATGAAGAAAAAAATTGACAGGGAAAAATGCATTTCTACAGGTCTGCTTTCAGATTGTTTTTATTTAAGGGTTTTATATAACTTGCATCTGCAAAGGTATTACTGATTTCCTGTTTGTTCCTTCTTGACCATATTTTTATGTTGAGATGAAAAATAGTACTTCAGCGCCTGGCAATATATTAACAAAAACAGAGGATTACTTTCTGTATTTTTTGGAAATAATACCTGAGATTGCCTTGGCTTTTTCTTTATATTGAAGAAAGGATTTATGAGAGGTTTTAGTTAAGGTTTAATTCTTTTCATCTTTCTGTTGGCCATGCTGCTCACTTTTCTCTATTTAGTCAAGCCAGAATTATATTTGTACAAGCAAGGCACACAATATCCGAGTGTTCGAGGTGCAAACGGGGGCACCTGACCTTTTGTTATTAATCTGTGACAGGTGCAGACTATTTTCTTCCAAATGGTGTTCATTTGCGTGTGCAAATGCATCCCCTGAAATTTATATTCTGTATAGCCACCCCGGGGGAATTGATCGCAGTCATGAATAGTGTAATGGACAGCTGAGAGAGATAATTACTGATATTTCAACACATTCATGCCTGGAAGTTGGTCTTTTGAGCACACTTCTGTTTTCACTGCTTGTTAGGGAGGCTGAAGTTAGTTATTCATTTCTGGACCAAAAAAAAAGTGCCTGCAAAAGTTCATGTGTAAAGAACAGCACATTGTTACAAATTAGTTTCCTTTACCATTTCTGGCAAACTCATTACAAAGTAATCGTGGCCTGTGTTGAAGTGCACTTCCTCTGGGACCAATAACGGTAAATAAGCAGGGCTGCAAGCTGGCTGATAAGTTGTTGTTCTGAAGATAACAGTCCTTTTTAGCAGTCTGTTTGACCTTTTCCTTTATATTGCCTGAGGCTTGTCTAAGACCCTCAAGGTCTATTTTTCATCTTACAATTCTCTGTAGAGAAGCACAATGTGTGGTTTAAGAAGATTTTAGGATTGCTTAACATATCTGTGTTTTCTTGCATTTTTTGATAATTGTTGGTATATTTAAAAATACAGCTAGCATTGACTCAAACAGGATTTATTTTTTCTTGAAATGCAGTCTTTTCCAGGAAGAACTATGTTTTAATACTTTATGAACTCTGAAGCTCCTAGCATAAGTTAAATAAAATGATCATAACATTTTGCTTTTTAATATCATCTATCTGCAGACAGTCATTTTAAAAGTAGTTTATGATATTTATATTTTGAAAATGGTATATGACATAACTGTTAGGCTTGTGCAATTTGGCTGGAGGGCGATCCAGTTTTGACATCCAAATTTCTTTGGGCGCCCAGATCCTTTTTTGGGAGCCTCCCAAAATTCGTATAATGGAAATATCTAATTTTGGCTAGACAGTCTAGCCCAGTGATTCCCAAAGTGGGTGTTACCTCCCCCTGTGGGTGCTGCAGCGATCGGGGGGGGGGGGGGGCGGTAATGGCCACAGGTGCATTTGGGGGTGATGAATAACTGTAAGGGGGCAGTGAAAGCATAAAAGAAAGAAGAGAAGATTTAGAAAAATTGATTTCCAGGGTGTAGGCCAATTAAGTTTGCCAATAGGCGGCAATGGGGAACTTACAAGGCTCCCCTTTTCCTGGGATCTTTTCCTTTCTTCCTTTCAAGGGAGTCTGGGTCCCAGCAACGGGGTTAAGAAAGTAGTGCGTAAGACATATCACAGCGTTCGACTATTCAGATTGGCCCAACAGGCAGGGTTCATTTATGTGAACCCAAGAAGCATCTTCTTAGCAACTGTTCTAGTGCTATACAGTATATACCTTCATGAAGTATAAATATCCTGTAATGATCTATGATAAAGATTTTTTAAATAGAAGATATGGGTATCAGATGGCTTTTTATTGGCTATTATTTTTGAGATCATTGAATTGTTTTTGATCTTTTTATTCTAACTTTTTCTTCAGTATTTTAGTGTTGGCTATCTTGACCCATATTTTTGGTGAAAATATAACATACAAACTTAATAACCAAATAATGTATCTCCACAATTTTGAAAAGCTAAAGCTGTGCATCATAAGCATAGCTTTAGTGTTATAAATTTCCATATAACTTGAGGGGTTCATCTTTATAATAGATCCACATTTATTTTACCAATAATGTATGCTCTTGGAGGTAAGAAGCAGATCGGATTTTCCCATGCAATTTCATTCAGACTTTTGGTAGAATATTCTTCTAGCAAAAACATGGTCACATCAGAAAACTTTTCTGGAATCACATCACATTTGGTTATTTATTCTTTTTAGGTAACCTCGGGCGTGTTGATCATATTACTGAATTTGAATATGATCTCTTCATCAGACCTGACACATGTAATCAACGTTTTCGAGTCTGGTTCAACTTCACAGTTGAAAATGTGAAAGAATCTCAGGTCAGTATCATTTGAATAAAATGTTGTATAATAAAAAAATGGTTTAAAATTTCTGTAAAAATGTTCAGATTCCATAACTACCTGTATTTATCAGAGTCTAATGTGCCATTGAATCTAGTGTGCACCTTAATTTTCAAAACCCTGAAACCTCAAAAAGTACTTACCATATTACGTGGATCTAATGCACACTCTAATTTTGGATAGGTAATTTAGTCAAAAAAGGTGAGCGTTAGATTTGAGTAAATATGCTATTATAGGGAAAACCTGTGGTAAAATGTTGTCACATAAAAGGATTGTAAACATTGAATGTTACAACAACATTCCAAAAAGAGAAAATGTTCACTCCATACCTAGGACCATGTAAGATACTTGAGAGGAAGGGATCCTGAACTAGGACTGTAACTAGTTTCATTCCTCGGAGCTATTGCTTGGCATGAACTGCTTCTAAACTCATTTCTGCTTTTGAGTTTTCTGTCTCGGTCCTGGTAGCTAGAAGGAAAAAGAAATTTCTTTCTGACTCTTCTTCAGAATCATGTCTTTCACCAATTTTGGATGTTTTCAACATCATCTTATGTTTCACTTTTTATTTTCATGTTTGTGTCTCTGAAGCCTTTCATTTTGCATTGACTGTCTCATAACTATTGCATACTTACATTCACTCAGGAACAAAGCAACTGATGTGTTGCTGAGCACAAATTGAATGTCACATAAAACCCGTATGCATGTTAGTAGATGTATTTATTTTATTTTAAATAAATACACAGTCAATACGTGAATTTACCCAAGTATTCAGATGGAAGCTTGCAAATGACATAAAATATTTGAAAAACCTTAACAGAAAAGATAACTGGATCAAACCCATGTAACAATTGAGCAATATTTCCTGAGCTCTCATTCAGTGCTACCCAATTATAAGAGTGGGTTGATGATACTGGAAGTAGAGCAGATGGGACATGGAGAAAGAGAACAACTTTCTTTGAAGTGCACAAGAGTCAAATCATTAATTGAAGTAAAAGCAAGAAACATGTTTTCATTTACACAGACTTCCCAGGGAATTATAAATTGTAAGAAGTTATATGTTTTTGTTTATAAAAAAGTTCAAACTCTTCTGAGAGTTGAAAGCAAAATATTTATGTGAGCTATTGCTATCAGGTTTCTGGAGTACAACTTTTCTGATGTCTTACAAGATGTATGCCTGCTGTCCGTGCAATACCTTAGAGCTTTTGCTGCTGAACTAGAAAGGTCATAGACTATGAAATGTGAGGCTGTTGAGTATTGCTTTCTGATAGGCTGAAACAGCCAAGAGTAGTCTTCATTTCTTACATGTTGTTGCTGTTGCTGTTGTTGTCGTCGTTGCATGCCAAGGCAGGGATTCAAACACTGATCTTCAGATTCATAGTCCAATGCTCAAAAAACGAAATCATACTGATTTTCTACTTAATATGCATCTTAGTTTTGAAAGTCATGATGTCAAAATCTTATGTCCCCCATCCTACCATATAACCAAAATATCATTTTAGTTAATGGAAAAATAATCCACATGCCATTGTCTGATTATGGTGTGCTATAGATGATTGGTGTTCTTCTCCTGTTTTCTAGCTTAGTAAACAATGATCAAATTATAGAAGCACAAAATGAATGGGAATCTGTTTCATTGAGCACCGAGATTGTGTGAAGAGATACGTATATTTGCAGAGTTCACAGGATATTTGTTTTCATAGTTGTGTACATGAAGAAGAATGGGTTCACTATCAACTTTGACTTGTGAGGCCTATTTTTATAATGCGCCTTCCTATAATCTCACTTTTTCATCTCTCAAATATCCGTTAAAATGAGTCCTACATGAATGTAATCAAATCTTAACAATATCTCAGGCTGGATACACCAGACGTTTCAACCAGGGTGTGCTAAATAAATGTTACAAATCATTGTAGCAATATATAAAGTGATGTCTTTTATGTTTATTAAATTGAGTAATTGAAGCAAATAAGTTTTAAAGTATCTTTACTGGATATATTACAAAGTAGTTTTGAATTATTTATATCTGCCACAATCTTGTAAATTTCTAATCCTGGATTAAGATCTACTCCGAAATAAGCAATTAAAGATGTCCTGTCTTTCACTGAGAATATCTTTAGTGATGTTAAGTTTCAGTTCTGTTTTAAGCTATTGTTAACTGCCCTCAAGTTGACTTCGACTTATGACCTTGTGAATTCTTGACTTAATTCAGTGTATCAACTGCCTTACTCAGGTCTTCTAGACCAGGTATGGGCAAACAGTTATAAGGAATTGTGAGAGCTGAAATCCAAAATACCTGGAGGGCTGAAGTTTGCACATGCCTGTTCTAGACTCAGGACCATGGCTTCCTTGATTAAGTATATACACCTGAAATGTGGTCTTTTTTCTTATTGCTTTCCACTTTATCAAATATTGTCTTTTTTAATGAGCCATGTCTTCTCATGATATATCCAAGTTTTGATAGTCTCAGTTTAGTAATCTTGCCTTCTAGGGAGTGTTCAGACTTGATTTGCTCTACGACCTACCGTATTTATTTGTCTTTTTAACAGGTCACAGTATCTACAGATCTCTTCTCTAGCACATTTCAAATCCATTGATGTTCTTCCTTTCAGTTTTCTTCACTGTCCAGCTTTTACAACTATACAGAGAAATTGAAAATATGACGCCATAGATGATCATAACTTTACCATTCAGTCATATATCTTTAACACTTAAGGATCTTGTCTACTACCTTTATCTTCCTTTCCAAATCCGGGTCTTCTAATTTCTTGACTGCATTCTCCATTTCAATTAATTGCAAAGTCAAGTATGGAAAATCCACAACTATTTTAAGTTTTGATAGTCTCAATTTAGTAATGTTTTTAATGTCCACTTTAAAGCTGTTTAAATCACATGTGGTCATTACTTTTGTTTTCCGCATGTAAACTGGCCTTTGCACTTTTTTCCCTTGACTTTCTTCAAATAATTGTTCCAAGCCTTTGCTATTTTCCTTTAGTAGTATGGTGCCATGTGCATATCTCCAGTTGTTGAAATTCCTTCCTCCAGTTTTCATACATCGTTCCTCAGAATGTAATCCTGATTTATGTAGGATACATTCAACATACAATTGAAACAGACAGGATGGTAAAATGCAGCCTTGCCTGCCAATTGTAAATTGTTTCTCCGTATTCTGTCCTAACAGTAGCTTCTTGTCCTGAATGCACGTTATATGCATATAGCACACCAATTTAAGATCCCTGTGATGGATAAAAAGCTTCAGTGGATGTTGCTCCTATATATGAAAGAGTAGATTGATTTAACTATAGTCAGATTGATTTAGTAATTTTTAAGACTTTAACATTTAAATAACTAACTTACTGATTACTTTTCTAACTAATTTGATGAAGTCTGCAATCCTAAATGTAGTCAATTGAATTTAATTTGTCTAAGGCATTTAAAACCAAAATGATTGGCCCCTACTATACTTAAGAACTGATAATTGTTTACCAAACATATGATAATGCAATTTCTGAATCACCATAAAGCCCTCATGATATCACTTCAACCACTACAGGCCAGTGGGCCATGGAAACAAAAACGGGGGCCATAGTAACGAAATAAGAACTGCTGGGATTGTTAAAAACTTAGAGTATCCTTAGACATTCTCTTACAAGGAACCTGAAAGGAATATTGCTGTAGAATGGGATGGCAGCCTATAAGAGGAAAGGGCTTCTTCATGTTCTATTACTTTTAGTATCTAGAAAAAGAGCCCCCCCCCCTTTAACTCTACTCTGTTATTATCTAGTCAAAAGAGAGGTAGACTACTGCTGGATTCCCATTGGGCAAAACCCACCCCCAAAATAGTAATTGCCAATCCTAGAGGCTCAAACTCATGAAAAGCCCTCTGCCAAAACCATGAAAATTAATTGAATTTTCTTTCATTTCTGTTTTGGCTATAAAATAGCCTATTTTCAGGGTGGTGAAGACTGCCATTAAATACTGCCCCCGTGACATCTGTAGTTGCCTAGTTCTACTGCAAATTGCAGAGGTTGGCTTGTGCAAGTAGAAATTTATATGGGAGAATGGATACAACTTCACTATGTACAAGACAAAGTACAAAGGAAGGAAATATAACTCTGACATCAGATGTTTACACTGAAGCAATTTGTGATATTCTTTTAGCGCAGGAAACCCATTTTTGTTCATTAAACTGGTTTTTGTGTAACATTTTGTCTATTTTTCTCTGTACAATTCCTCCATAAAATTTTGAGACTTTGGAAAAATTTATGGAAAATTATGTTAAAATCTTGTTAACATTCTTTTCAGCACAATTTCCTGACTATTGGTGACCTGGTTTTTAGTCTGGAAATGCTTATGTACTTTCTATCTCCAAATCTTTTCACAGGGAAATGAAAATATGCAGAAATATCTAGTTCCAAGTCACCTGTTAACTTACGGTGACCCCATGGATTTCATAGCTTTTCTTTGGCAAGGAATACTTAGAAGTGATTTAATCAGTTCCTTCCTCTGAAATATAGCTTATATCACCTGGTATTTCTTGATTGTTTCCCAACCAAGTACTCTTCAGAGCAGACGTGCTTAATGTTAAAGATCAGGTAGAGTTGTGCATTTAGGGTATTATCTATTCACTGTAAATAGTTTTTCTCCTTGGGAAGTCTGCTTCTGAGATTAGGGTACTGATGATATGTAGGAACTTTGTATGCCCCTCACATTTTCACAGAGAATATTGCATACATTATTGTCTTAAAATAAACAATAACTTTGAAAACTTTGAAAACTCCTGTCTCTGCTTTTTTTTGGCTGTGTATGTTTTTGTATGTATATTTTTAGATTAAACTTTCAACTAAGAAATGTTTGAATAGACAGATTTGAACAGTGCTATTTAATGCTCAATAGTTAATGTTTAGTGAGTTTGTGAAGTACATCTGTTTTCAATATTCTATTATATATTCTACTTATTAGGATATAATTAGCATGAATGT